GCAGAACAAATATAGAGCTAATTAAATGACATGGTGCTGAGTAGATGCAGTACAGGTGAAGAACGAGTAAATACACTTGGTACAAAGTAAATATGATGCCAATAAATATACATGGTGCAGAGCTGATATGATACTAATAGCAAAGCAGATATAATACGAATAAAACACATTGTGCAAATAAATATTAAGGTAGACAAAGATACATATGATAGTATATGAGTAATAAGTGCTAATAGAAACATATGATACAGAGAGCTGATATGATGCTTATAGGAAGGCATGCTACAGAGTCGTTATAATACTGACAAAAGCACATAATACTGTGCTTGTATAGAACTAATAAGGACACATGACAGCGTTAAAGTTCATTAAATATTTGCTATTGTGCAAGAGTTCTCAAACCAGTTTAAGTTCTGTTTAGGTATAAGATATAAGGTATGCGTGTGTAAATTGTAGTTTCCTGGATAAATGCAGTGGAAAACCTTATGTTGATTAAATGGGCTGGCAGATATCCTGACCTAGTGCCGCGATAAATTTTATAATTTTACATATTGCATTAATGCTTCCCTTGTGCTTAATTATCAGTCGGTGGTAGGCAGTTATGTTGCTCGTGGGCATGAAAAGATGCATGGTATCTGTCAGAGGGCACCTGAATAGGTAGTGGTCTGGCGTTCCGTCTTCTCCACAGACACAGATGTCTGTATTTGATATCCCATGTCGATGAAAATAAGACGGGAACGGCCCGTGACCTGTTATGTAGTTTACCAAAGGAGCAATGGCGATAAGGCGGTCAGTTGATACCTTTGAAATACGCTCATAGGTGCGCCTCCCTGTTTCCGCATTAGTCCATTCTTCTTGCCATTGTCGTATTGCTTGTCCCTGCAAATGACGCTTTAGATAGGATGATGTTCCTGCGCTTCGAGATTGCTTGCAGCATCCTTAGCCAAACGGTCAGCTGCTTCATTTCCCTGGTTGCCATCGTGGGCTTTGACCCAGACCATGGTAATTTTAGTGTGACGATTATGCTGCAGGATGTCTTGCAAGTTAATGATGCTCGGCGATACATGGTGTTGATTCTCTATTGCATTTATTGCTGAAAGGCTGTCCGTGTATATGGTAGCTGCCTGTATATTGTTGTTGAGTATATGCTGTACCGCTGCTGTGAGAGCAGTAACTTCCGCCTGAAAGACGCTGTTTTCCGGTTTCAGATGTCCTTTCCATGTGTATTCGGTGTTGGAACCATCATAGTGTATAAAGGCACTACCTACTCCATGTTCATGCTTCGAGCCATCCGTGTATATCTTCGTGAGGGTGTCTCGATGAAGGCAGTTGGATTTAACTGTGCGTATGCCTGTCCCTTTTATTGAGGGATGTGTACGCAATACGTCGCCCCGATGCTCATATTGGACTGGGCTATAGGTAGTGTTTCCAAATGTCGCATCTCGGCGCAAGTGGATCAGTTGGGCATATGCAGATTCCATTAAGGCTTTGATATGCAGTGGTATGATACCAGCTAGTACCTGTGCTGCATTTGTGTGGCTGTAGTTCGATATGCTTTGCATAGGTTTATCGCAAAAGGTCTTTGCAAGGCTGATAGTTGACGGATTTTCCTGGCTCCCATTGGGTTTGCCCAGATTGGGGCTGCATATAATGCGATTTTCTCTGCAACTGTGAGATATAACAGTTTCTGAAAATGGGGGCTCTGACCCCAATTCTTGCCCTGAAATTGGCGCGCTGTTCTCGCTATTCGAGATGTTTTAACACGAAGGTCTTGTATATGAGGAATAAAGGTTAGACCGGAGTCCCATGTTACTCCTAGATATTTAAGATTTTTAACGAACTTAATATTTCTCCCGTTTAATTTAATACAGGGCCGTCGTGTTGGATTTGTTCCTGGCCTTGGAATGATCAACGCTGTTGACTTTTCTGTTGATATTTGAAGCTTAAGTCGAGTGCAGTAGTCAGCAAAAAGTGTGCAGACTTCTGTGCCGTTTTTCTCCAGTTCGTTGCGTGTGCGTCCTCGCACCAGGAGTGCAGCATCATCTGCGTAGGCGACAACTCGCGTGTGTGCGGGCCAGTCTGCAGCGAGCACTTCGTTAAATGTGATGTTCCATAGGAGGGGCCCCGCGCAAGAGCCTTGCGGGCAACCTCTCACTTGGGCTTTGGATGAAACACCTGCATCGTGGGACATTATTAACATACGATCTCTTGTAAGTAGCTTGTGATTGTTAGATAAAGGTTGGTCGGGCATTTTGCATTGCGTAAAGCTTGTTTGATTGCTGGCCACCACAGAGTATCAAATGCGCTGGCCAGGTCAATCGAAATGAAAGCCGTATGCATATTATCATTTCTATTCTTCTGGATGCAATCCTTGATTGTTGAAAGGGCTTGAACGGTGGAAGATCCTATGCGGAAACCGAATTGTCTGACACTTAGATATTTGGTCTTGTGCAGATGATGACGAAGTCGATTGACAATCAGCTTTTCATACACTTTGCCCAGTGCAGACAACAAGCAGATTGGCCTGTAAGACCGCGGTTCAGCTGGATTTTTGAATTTTTTCAAGAACAAGACTACCTGTCCCTTCTTAAATACGGTTGGGAAGAGCTTTGCCTGAAGTAATTTATTGAAGAATTTAGTGAAGAAATCTGGATTGGCTTTATATGCAACTTTAATTATTGAATAGTCCAGGCCATCCGGTCCTGGGGCTTTTTTCAGGGGTAGGTAGCGAAATACATGAGCGATTTCTTTTGCTGAGAAAGCATAATCATCTGGCGTATCTGGGATAGTTGTATTGTTTCGCACTGCACGTTGTTCCAGTGTATCTTCATGCGGATTGTCCTTTGCAAAAATTTCGTCAAGAAGGGTGGCAGCTGTAAACCCCGCTGGGTTTGTTGAAAGACTAGCTGTTGGAACCTGTGCATGAATTTGTGCTGGTTTGAATACCTTCTGTGTTGCAATCTTATGTAAGATCCCGTAGGGATTCGTATTGTTGTTACAGAAGGTACGCCAGCTTGTCACTTTTGCAGCGAGAATATTCTTCTTATATTTAGCCCGCTCTTGCCGGTATGTAGTCAGAATCTGTGCTTTGGTCTCTCCGTCCACGTTGCCTCTTAGTCTGCGGCGCAAAGCTCTGCATTTTTGTCTTTGTTGCCTTAGTTCGCCGGTCCACCAAGAGATTCCTTGTAATTTCTTGGTTGTACGGAGGGGTAAAATTTGTTGACATATTTCATTAAGTTCCTCTAGAAGTCCTTGTGCAAGGGAATCAAGGTGTTCTGAGTTGTTGCAAGATTCTAGCTGCAATTCTTTTGCTTGCAGGAGACGAGTAAAGGCCTGGGTCAATTGTCTAACCTTGTTACCTGGCAGCCTATAGCGTTTAATTATAGAAATGGTGGTATCTGTTTGTATAGTAAATTCTACGTATTTATGATCTGAACAACTTTCAGAGTCTGAGACATGCCATGAATGTATGTTGTTAGCAATATCATAAGTTGAGATCGTTAAGTCTGGCCATCCTTGATTGTACGAATTATCGAATGTAGGTGGTGCATTCGTTGTATTGTGCAATTGTAAATTGTTTGCCGCAATATAATCTTCAAGCTCCTGCCCTTTTGGATTTGTGGTACTATACCCCCATATAATATGATGGGCATTAAAGTCGCCTCCTATGACTTGAGCTGTGTTTGGAAATTTTCTACTTGTTTCGCTTATGTGGGCGACAGTGCTGCCAATTGCATCTGTTGGTGGTGAATACACCGAAGTAAGGATAAATTGCATATTTTCAAAAATGATTAGAATGGCGACATAATCCCTATGCAGCTTGATGACTTGTGGTGTCCATGCGGGGTTGCAGCAGGCAATTGCTACTCTAGGAGCAAGATCTGCCGTCGGGGACTCCTTTTGGTATATTTTCCATGCAATAGGTAAGCTAGCGACGTGACCTTCTCTACAGTATGGTTCCTGCATGATTACGAGGTCTATGTCGTTGGAAATAACTTGCGTGAGGACATGAGATGTTGCTGCCTCAGCCCTTTGAAGATTGATTTGCAGGCATTTGATGATACTTGTGTGCTTAGTGTACCTGCTTGATGGAGGTATAGTATGTGGAGAGAGAATCTGCATATGATTATTGTTATTATTAGATTGGATTACAGGCGTGTTGTTGTTAGCATTAGTAGCAGATAGACTATTCATAGATAGTGCTGCGTTTGATCCGTTCGACGTATCTCGTGTATGTTGGACAGGCAACATCATATGCTGGATGGTCGCAAGCTTTATTGTCTCGGTTGCGGTAGTTACTGTCTGCACAGTTGATGCATGTGGCTCGTCTGGCTTGACAGTCTTTGATTGCATGATTCCCCGAGCAGTATGCACAATAGATTTTATTTTGGCATCCCTGCTGGGTATGGCCAAATGCTTGACAGCGGTAGCACCTCTTAGTGTTGAAGTACTCTGAGATTCGATGTGCCCGCCAGCCGATGAGTAGTTTTCTGGAGCGCATGAGTTGTTGGAAGGCATCGGGATTACATTCGACAATCCACTTGACTGTGTTACTCCTTTCTTTGAGCCTGTACAGGATTTTGGCATTATTCTTGTTAATATGGAGTTCTAAACTGATGACTCGTCCAAGTTCCTCCTGTGTAACGCTTAATGGGATATTGTGTATAGCAACCCTGGGAAGCCTTGTGCTTGGGATCTTGGTTTGCAAGAATTCTTTAGCCTTTTCAGTCTGCAGTTTTTCCGAGAGTGCGTGAATGTCCTCCTTTGTATGGCAATCCACTGCAAGTCCTTCCTGCGGGATGTATCTTAATGCTGCTACTTGAACTCCCAATGTGGGTAACGGAAATTCAGCAGTCAATTTTTCTTTTAACACTTTCCTGGATGTTGTGGACGGGTCTTTAGGGTAGATCAGCAAGGTGTGTTTAGGCTTTTGCGCCGTTACACTTGCGTAGGACTTTCGATTGTCTGTTGCCTTTTGCGCTAGATTAGGTGCAGCTGTGATGTGTTGCTGTTGACTTGCTAGTTCACACGCGAAAATACTGGATGTGTTGACTGCTTTATCGACGGTATCCGGAGGTGGAATATACTCAGATACTCCCAAAGCCAGAATTCGGAAGGCTTCAACAGTGTCTATCAGTTGCTTTCGCAAGCCTAGGGGTAGAATATTTTTGCCACCTCGAAAGGAAGTTGCGATCTTTTTAATTTCGTCAGTGAGTTTATCAATCTTCTCAGTATAGCTTATGTCCGAGGTAATGAATGTTTGCAAAGCAAATTCTCTCGAGTAAGTGGAGGAATCTGTGTCACTCATCGTATGGGAAAGGATCTAAGTTTCTCTGTACAGTACTGCGTTTGGTGCTGAATTTTTATATTTCAATCTGGAATACAGGAAAAAGTCAAATTTTCTTACCTTGGCAGCAGTATTTCATCTGTCCTTCATCTGTATAAAGGTATTCCATAGTAATCCAAAGGCACATAGACACTGAAACACAACACTGCACTGTAATAAGAAGTCAAACTACGCAATTTTTGCAGCTTGAAAATTCTAAGTTAATAAATGTCGAAAAAATTATATCTTTGGAACCAGTGGGCCGATCACGACCAAAATTTTAAACTTCTGCTTCTGAAGATAGATGATGAAGATTGCCGTTTATTCCAGCATGATACAGCAATTAGGAAATTAATTAGCAGGCAGCTAATAAGTGTCCACTTCATAAAAGGAAAGCCGTTGCGAATGTCCTTGACGAAAACGCGCTACCCCGAGGGGGGGACGGTGACTCCTAACGGTCGAAAATGCAGCGTGAGCGAAAAAAGCGCTAAATTAAATCAGAGTAATTTCTGCATAATTATTCAACCAATTAATTAATCTTGATGAAACTTATATCAAAATACTGCTGAGATGATCCTCTATCCAGGCTATGTAAAATTCCGGCTGCTACTACGTCCGTCGGTGTATCCACGGGTTGCGAAGTTGAGGAACATGGCGAAAATGGGCTCCAAGTCGTGAATGATAATGTTGTTAAAAACTTTGAAATTCCATAAAAAAATGACTAATTGTCGTAATGACACAATTTTTATATATGTGTACTCCTGATGATGTTAGCTACACGTAGCAACTACTTTTACAGCGGTACGTTGAGAACTTCACTGGTCTATCAAAACGCAGTATGAAGTTTATTTTGGAAGATTCACACGATGATGCAGACACACAGGGGGCTGGTGATCTGTGTACTGATGAAGATGAATCAACACAGATGACCGCACGTACACTGTGAGACCATTCAGCTATCCAACGGCCTGTCAGATTTAATGACTATGTGTACAAAAGCATTCTGAAGTTGAAAGAGCCTAAAACATATGACGAAGCAACGAAGTCTCCTGAATACGGCCGACTGGAAACGAGCCATGGACGAAGAAATGGCTTCGCATGGCAAAAATTCTCAACATAGCCAAACATTGTTGAACATGGCAACTCGTTGAGCCC